CACAAACCCTGTGTGTTTTGCAAGCTGCTGGGCCAGAATTCATTTGGCCATGCAAGATCAGGTATTAAACAGGAGGCTATGGGCTAGCCCTGCCACCACTTTAAACATACACCTTTTCCCTCCTGTTTTGGCCACTTAGCACCAGTCAGTATTTGCTTTGGCCTTTATAAGAAGGAAGCTAAAATTCCAACATACGGATGGTGGTAAATTAGATACTAGTAAGTGTAAGAGGCATTGGGGACTTAGTCAACGTAGTCAGCAGGGGAAGAGCTGGTAAATTGCAGGGAGCAGATGACTTTCAGGTGTTTTCTTTTGGAGAGGTTTTCGCTATAGGGCGCATGCCCCCGCCAGACAGACAGAGACATAGAGACAGAAAGCAAGAAATCACTCCCCAGGGAGGATGGCCACACTGCAATCCTCTCTCCTCCATTCTCCTCTCGGGATCTTGGGCATGCACGCACACGTGCCCGGCGTGAGTTTTAAGTCACTGGGTCCGGGACGTGAACCGCAGTCGACTACATGGGAGTCCAGCGACATAGCCATTATGCTAATTGCTGATTCCCAGATGACTTTCAGGTTTTGAAGACTATGATAGGAGCCAAGAATGGAACTGGGGAAGATGGGGAGAAAATCGAAATGTAAGCCCAACACATTTTGCTGAAGGCTTGATGGAAAGCCAGGGTAGATCTCGTCCATCAGAGAGAACCCGTGTAACAAGACGGTTGAATCCTGGCAGAACCCTGAGTTTTCTCATAGAGCCAACACATGAATGAGGTCACCACAGACATCAACACATCTTGGACAAAATAGCTCTATGGGTCAAAGGAGATTTGACTGTGTAGCCCAAATGGTGCTAAAACACAAACCACGCTAGGTGGAGCTTATGGGAAGCCAGTGGCCAACCAAGAAAACCCGAATCCATGGCAAGTTGATGAAACTGGAGAAAAGTAACAATTTAAGTGGAGTAACTTAACCAAGTTTAACCTTGAGCCCAAAGTATCTCAAGGCAGATTGCCTATTCTGAATGCGTGCTCACACTGTCTTTCTGGTGACTCTTTTGGCTTCGTGGGTGTCTGATTCTGAGAAGAGAAAGGTTCCGGATATGTCACTAGCCCTGAGTATGAACTGTAGTGGCTTAGTGTTCCTGGATTACAGGTGGGTCACTTAATACCATGACCAAAACAGAAACTCTTCAACTCCCACTTCATCCGCTCCCTTGCAACCTCTCTTCTACCTTCTGTCTCTATGAATCTGTCCATTCCATACCTGTTCTAGCCCGTTCTGTTGCTAATAACAGAAATGTCTAATTTGAGAGAGTTTTGTTTAACTCACAGTGTTGGAGGTTGAGTCCATGAGCATGGTACTGGCACCTGGTAATGGTCGTCTTGCCCTACCAGGACATAGTGGAGGCAGGAGTGTGTGGAGAACAGAGCATGTCCCGGTCTGCTTCATAAATCCACCTTGTAAACCATCCCCTTATAAGTCTACCAGAACTCAATGTGGGGACCCTGTCACGGCAACTTTAGCCAATCCTAATCACTTCTCAAAGGCTTCAGCTCTTAGTCTCATAGTTGAATCAGGTTTCTACCCTCTTTTTGTTTTTTGGAGAGGTTTTTGCAATAGGGCTTGTGTGCTCGTCAGAAAAACAGAGATGGAGAGACAGAAAGCAAGAAATCACCCCCCAGAGGGGATGGCCACACCGCAATCCCTTCTCTTCCATGATCCTCTTGGGATCTGGCTTGAGTAAGCCACCAGGTCCAAGACTCAAACTGTGGTCGACTACATGGGAGTCCAGTGACATAGCCATTATGCCAACTGCTGGTCCCAAGTTTCCAACCTCCTAATACCTTCACAATTGCTCACCAAAAATTTTTTTTAAAGTTTATTTCTTCCATGAAAGACTCAGACAAACACCGCCAATAGCCTAAACTCAAGCAGCCTGGACCATGGGCAGGCATGAGCTCAGAGCCTCCGATGTGGGTCCATTTATGTCAACACTGTGCCACCTCCTGACCCATGCCTCAGCATTTTCTTTCCCCGAAAGTTTTTCATTTCTTCCATGAGAGAAACACAGAGATGAGCATCCCTACAGTCTATGACCCACCACCAGTTCCAGCTAACCTGGACCATGGGCACATGCAAGTATGTCCATCGTGCCCAGGGAGGTCTCAGGACATGGACTCAGGACACTCCCATGTAGGTCCACTTGTATCATCACTGTGCCACCTCCTGGCACTATGGTCCACCCAATTTTAACACGTGAGTTTTGGGGTAACACCTTCAAACCATGGCAATACCTAATATAAGGGGATTCATGCAATATTTGTCCTTTTGTGTGTGACTTATTTCACTTAATATAACGTTTTCAAGGTTCATCCACCTCGTAGCATGTATCAGAATTCCATTCTATTTTGGGCTGAACGATACTCCATTGTGCGTATGTGCCACATTTTGTTTATCTAGCCATCTGTTGATAGACACTTGGATCATTTCCACCTTTTGTCTATTGTGAATAAAGCTACTATAAATATTAGTGTGTCTATTTGAGTCCCTGTTTCGAATTCTTTTGGGCATATACTAGAATTAGAATTCCTACACCATATGGCAATTCTTTAACTTTCTGTCTTGTTTCGTTTTGTTTTGTTTTGTTTTTTTTTAAGAAAGACTTTAGCTATGGAGTGGTTGCTCTTGCCAGAGAGACAGAGAGAGAGAGAGAGACAGAAAGCGAGAAATCACCCCCCCAGGGGGGGATGGCCACACCACAATCCCTTCTCCTCCATTCTCCTCTTGGGATTTTGGGCACACACGCACACATGCCCGGTGTGAGTTTAAGCCATCAGTTCCGGGACTCAAATCACAGTTGACTACATGGCAGTCAGGTAACATAGCCATTACACCAATTGCTGGTCCCCTCTCCTGCATTCTTTTTTTTTTTTTGGAGAGGTTTTTGCTATATGGCACGTGCGCTCACCAGACAGACAGAGAGAGACAGAGAGATAGAAAGAGAGAAATCACCCCCCAGGGGGGATGGCCACGCCGCAATCCCTTCTTCTCCATTCTCCTCTTGGGATCTTGGGCTCGCGCCCAGCGTTAGTTTTAAGCCACCGGGTCCAGGATGCGAACCACGGTCGACTACGTGGGAGTCCAACGACATAGCCATTACGCTAACTGCTGGTCCCCTCTCCTGCATTCTTAACTTTGTCACAGTATGTTCTTATCTTAGTGGAAACCTGGCTTTCTGCTAGAAACAGTGCTTTCTTGGAAGCGCTCTAAGTAGACCTGGCTGTCCATGATTCCAGACCTCATAGTCCGCTGTGGTCATGAGAGGAGTGAATGAACTCTCCCAAAATACCATTTAAAAAGCCTTAGCCTTTCAGACTCGCATCTATCTGAATCCTACTCTTTATCCTGTCTCTTTGAGGTCACATGTGGATTTCTGGCTCTCACCCTCAGTTCACCAGGCAGACCACTGGAAACCAACTGGGAAGACCCACTCTTCCTTTGTCAGGATGCACCTGCAGTGCTGATGTGGTCTACTGCTGCAGCTTTATGTCTGTCTATGGGACATTCACCTTATGAAGAAAAAGTAAAAATAAAAATAAATAACTATGAGAGATGAAGAGTTTCATATTGTAAAAGCCTGGATAAATATTTGGAAGTCCCTTGTATTATCTTCCCTAGAAATGTACCTCCCACTCCCCCACCCCCAATATAGCCACGAAATACAGAAGTCTAAAAGTAGAAAGTGCCTTTAAAAAAACAAGTGTTGGGGGGAACCAGCAGTTAGCGTAATGGCTATGTCGCTGGACTCCCACGTAGTCAACCGTGGTTCGCGTCCTGGACCCGGTGGCTTAAAACTCACGCCGGGCGCGTGTGCGTGCGTGCCCAAGATCCCGAGAGCAGAATGGAGGAGAAGGGATTGCGGCGTGACCATCCCCCTGGGGGGGGGTGATTTCTCGCTTTCTGTCTCTATGTCTCTGTCTGTCTGGCGAACGCACGCGCCCTACAGTGAAAATCTCTCAAAAAAAAAAACAAGTGTTGGGGAACAGCAGGTGGTGTGATGCTTAAGCCGCTGGACACTCCCACATGGTTGAACACGGTTCGAGTCCTGGACCTGATGGCTTGCTTTCTCACTTTCTCTCTCTCTGGTCAAATTAAAATAAATGAATGCATAAATAAAATTAAACAATTATTTTAAAAAACAAACAAACAAAAAACAGGACCAGCAATTGGCGTAATGGCAATGTCGCTGGACTATAGCAAAAACCTCTCCAAAACACAGACACACACACACACAAAACCAAGTGTTTTCCTCTATGAAGATAAACCACATTATCTTTTAAAATCTGCTAAGTGTAACAATAAAAACACTGCACTTCTACCAAATAGAACTGCTTTCAGCGTTTGTATTTCAGTCTTGGTTTTGTGCTTAGCTTTAAAAACGTACACCTTGGGACCAGTAGATGGCGTAATGGTTACTGCACTGGACTCTCACGTAGTTGACCATGGTTTGAGTCTCAGATCTGGTGACTTAAAACATACCCCAGGCCTGCCCAAGATCCTCAGAGAATGGAGGAGAAGGGAGTCGGGCATGACCATCTCCCCTAGGGGGTGAGTTCTCCGGGCAAGTGCATGTGCCCTATAGCAAACATCTCTCTTGAATGAATGAATGAATGAATGAATAGAATCCCCTTTATTTATGAAGCACTGCTAGACTGCGTCCTGCTTTTTTCTCTTACCCACCATTATAACCTTTCCCCGCAGTCTGACACCTTCCAGAGGCATTCTGAAGGTTCAATTTCTTTGTTCTTTTTCTTCTTTTCTTTTCTTTTCTTTCTCTCTCTCTCTTTCTTTTTTTTTTTTTTTTTTTTTTTTTTTTTTTGGGGGGGT